CTTTCAGCTTACATTTGTGCAGTTTGCCTGGGATTGAAAGGTGTGAATGGCGGTGGTTTGAAAAATGTGAGCTAGATGACTTTAGGTGTTGAAAATGATGGTGTTTTCCAGAGGATGCCCATGTCCACACAGTCAAACTTACTTTTTAATTTCTACTTCTTGTTCAATCTTATTCCCACATTATGCCATAAGGCATCATAGTGAAATATTGGCGCTTGCTCCCCTTTCTTATCGCACCTTTGCTGGTGCTCTTCTATAGGGACGCGTGCGTTGTTAGTACCCATGCTCCAGCCAGGCGAGCTGGCCCATGTTTCACTGTAAACCATTCAGGTAGGGGCGATGTTGCTTATTGTATCATAATGTGGCATATCTTGCAAAGCATTTTAGTGGTTGCGTAGGGTGGAAGTGCACGAGAGGGAGAATTTGCTGAAAACGACGTGGGACACCAGATCAATGTAGATAACTAGGATTGGCATGGGTTCACCGACATTCAAAAAAATATTGACAAGTTCATTTGGTGGTTATACAGTTTCTTGAAGTTTCTTATGGTTTCCAGTGGTTTCTTGATGCTTCCTATCTATGCGTGAAAGATGTAAGTTGATGCAGGATCATGCAAGAAAATGTAAGATGCGATGTTACATTATATTACCATATAATGCCTATATAGTAAGCTGTTTGGGGGAGGGTGTTTGAGATAGTGTTGTGGGCTGCAGGGATTCTGGCCCCCCTATTGCTTTCAGCTTACATGTTTGCGTCGTATAGATGAGATCACCTTTGGTCATTTCATGATATGTTATGTCATTTTTTGTGCATATGTGCGCATCATCGTGCACTTTGCCTGGAATTGCCTGGTGAGTGATAGTGTTTCTTGAAAAATGTAAGCTAGATTACTTTAGGTGTTGAAAATGATGGTGGTTTCCAGAGGATGCCCATGTCCACAAAGTCAAACTTACATTTTAATTACTACTTCTTGTTCAATCTTATTCCCACATTATGCCATAAGGTGCCATGTTGTATATTATTGGATCATAATGTAGCATATCTTGCAAAGCATTTTACTGCTTGCCTAGGCTGGCACTGCACCTGAGGGAGCAATTGCTGTGAACGATGTGGGGCACCTAGATCACTGTAGATTCTGGATGGCTAGGATGATATTCTATGTTCATTTTTTGTGCATGTGATTGCATATGTGCTTATCATTGTGCAGTTTGCCCGGAATTGCCTGGTGAATGGCGGCGTTTTTTGAAAATGTAGGCTAGGCTGCTTTAGGTGTTGAAAATGATGGTGTTTTGCAGGAGATCTCCATGTCCACACAGTCAAACTTACATTTTAATTACTACTTCTTGTTCTTATTCTATCTTACGCCATCTGATTCCCACATTATGTCACAAGGTGACATATTGTATGCTATTGTATCATAATGTGACATATCTTGCAAACCATGTTTCTGCCTGCCTAGGCTGGCACTGCACCTGAAGGAGCAGAAAATGTGGCAGAAGGCTTCCCCTTAGCACAAAGTTATGTAGCAGAAGGCTCCCCTAGCAGAAAGTTATGTAGCAGAAGGCTCCCCTAGCAGAAAGTTATGTAGCAGAAGCCTCCGCTAGCAGAAAGTTATCTAGCAGAAGGCTCCCAGAAGGCTCCGCTAGCAGAAAGTTATGTAGCAGAAGGTGCCGCTGGCAGAAAGTTTGCAAAAACATTTTTCTGCCTGCCTAGGCTGGCACTGCACCTCAAAAACCATCTGCTGAGAACGACATGGGGCACCTAGATCACTGTAGATGACTAAGATTGGTATTGGTTCACCGACATTCACAAATATTGACAAGTTCCTTTGATAGTTATATAATATACAGTTTCTTGAAGTTTCTTATGGTTTCCAGTGGTTTCTTGATGCTCCCTATTTAAACGCGAAAGATGCAAGTTGATGCAAGATCATGCAAGAAAATGTAAGATGCGATGTTACATTATATTACCATATAATGCCTATATAGTAAGCTGTTTGGGGGAAGGTGTTTGAGATAGTGTTGTGGGCTGCAGGGATTCTGGCCCCCCTATTGCTTTCAGCTTACATGTTTGCGTCGCATAGATGAGATCACCTTTGGTCATTTCATGATATGTTATGTCATTTTTTGTGCATATGTGCGCATCATTGTGCACTTTGCCTGGAATTGCCTGGTGAGTGGTAGAGTTTCTTGAAAAATGTAAGCTAGATTACTTTAGGTGTTGAAAATGATGGTGTTTTCCAGAGGATGCCCATGTCCACAAAGTCAAACTTACATTTTAATTACTACTTCTTATTCGATCTTATTCCCACATTATGTCATAAGGCATCATAAGGTGACATGTTGTATATTATTGTATCATAATGTGGCCTATCTTGCAAAGCATTTTGCTGCTTGCCTAGGCTGGCAGTGCACCTGAGGGAGCATCTGCTGTGAACGATGTGGGGCACCTAGATCACTGTAGATTCTGGATGGCTAGGATGATATTCTATGTTCATTTTTTGTGCATGTGATTGCATATGTGCGTATCATTGTGCAGTTTGCCTGGAATTGCCTGGTGAAGGGCGGCGTTTTTTGAAAATGTAAGCTAGGCTGCTTTAGGTGTTGAAAATGATGGTGTTTTGCAGGAGATCTCCATGTCCACACAGTCAAACTTACATTTAATTACTACTTCTTGTTCTTATTCTATCTTACGCCATCTGATTCCCACATTATGTCACAAGGTGACATATTGTATGCTATTGTATCATAATGTGACATATCTTGCAAACCATGTTTCTGCCTGCCTAGGCTGGCACTGCACCTGAAGGAGCAGAAAATGTGGCAGAAGGCTTCCCCTTAGCACAAAGTTATGTAGCAGAAGGCTCCCCTAGCAGAAAGTTATGTAGCAGAAGGCTCCCCTAGCAGAAAGTTATGTAGCAGAAGCCTCCGCTAGCAGAAAGTTATCTAGCAGAAGGCTCCCCTAGCAGAAATATATGTAGCAGAAGGCTCCGCTAGCAGAAAGTTATGTATCAGAAGGTGCCGCTGGCAGAAAGTTTGCAAAAACATTTTTCTGCCTGCCTAGGCTGGCACTGCACCTGAAGGAGCATCTGCTGAGAACGACATGGGGCACCTAGATCACTGTAGATGACTAAGATTGGTATGGGTTCACCACCGACATTCACAAATATTGACAAGTTCCTTTGATAGTAATATAATATATAGTTTCTTGAAGTTTCTTATGGTTTCCAGTGGTTTCTTGATGCTCCCTATTTAAGCGTGAAACATGTAAGTTGATGCAAGATCATGCAAGAAAATGTCAGATCCGATGTTACATTATGTTACATTGCGCACTTTGCCTGGGATTGCCTGGTATGAAAAAATGTAAGTAGCTGCAGGGGAGTTTTCCAAATTTCTGCAAAAACACATGAAGACCGTGACCTTAAGGTAAGCGCTTATGAAATCTAGCAAGCAGATGCAAACAGCATCAGCAACAATATTGCAGGCAATCTTGCAGATGGTGCATGATCCAAACAAACCGGGAACAGCAGAAGATAGTATAAAAATAAATAGAAACAGAATAAGGTAGCACAAGATAGTACCAAATAGTAGTGCTAGTAGTACTAGTAGTACTAGTAGTACTAGTAGTACTAGTAGTACTAGTAGTACTAGTAGTACTAGTGGCAGCAATATTAATACGAATTAATAGTAGTAATAGAGTATATAATAGCAGCAAAAAAAGTAATGGTTTTCATATTATTTCATATTACTTCATATTTTATCATTAAAAATTGCTCGGGGTATTTTGAGATGATTCGATCTGCACGTCCCCCCCCCCTGGAAAATAGAAAAAAACGTGAATTTTTAAAAAATGAGGGGGGGGGTCACAAATTGGAAGTTACATTTTTTGACCCCCTAATCCTAATTTTTTATTTTTTCATGGGGGGAGGGGGGGGTCAAAAAAATGTAAGTTAGGGGGTCGCGAAAATGTAACTTACATTTTTTGACGGGGGGGTCCCCCCCATTTGTTTGTAACTTACATTTTTTGACCCCCCCCCAAAAAAAGGTGCCCAAGGGGGTGGGGATGATTTTTTAACAAATGGCCAAGGACTTTTTTCTCAGCATGACCCCTTCTGTAAGCCCAGCATTGTCCAGCAGGGCTGGACAATGCTTTACCAGCGAAGCGAGGTGCGGCAGTGCTGCCGGAAGTGCTGACGAATCTCCTAGCTTCATTGCTGAAGTACTGGAATTGAATGAATCTATCTATATTATATATATCCTGCATGCAATTAATTCTTGGACTTCAGACTTCAGCCATATGAATTAAGACTAATTAGTTGAATCGTTACGAACCCCTTCATATTTACTTCGAGACCCATCGTTTGCTGTGAATTTTGCCTATATAATTACAGTATATAAAACATGCTAACACATCCTAAAACCCAGTCAAACCACGCAGGCCAGATTGGAGGGCACGCAACGGTGGCATTCTAAGGCTTCTAAGGATTCTAAGGGCCCTCTGATGGCCTGTCCGTAAACGGTCATTTCACGGATCTCTACCAAGCTAGTGACATGTCCAGATTCATGTGAGTAAAGCAATAATGAACACCACCCATATAAATTAATATAAATCATTATAAATCCATGGCTTCTACCACCCTTTTATATCATTTATGGTAAATTTCCAGATAGTGAATCCTGTTGCTTTACTACATTGTATCATTATAGCAATCATCGTTGAGCTGCCACCAGCTGCCACACCTGGCAAAACCCCTCCATAGACCCGGCGAAAAAGCCGGACCTATTGCCCCCGGTGGATCGGATCCACTAAAGTACTGCAAAATCAGAATGAAATCAGCGACCCGAGGGGAAAACAATGGGCTTCGGCAGGGTAAAACACCTCCTGAAGTTCCGAAGGTTACAAAATGGTACAAGAATCTGACCCAATGCCAAGTGCCACACAGAAAATCACAGAATTGCAGAGAATGCACAAAGGCCTCAAAGGCAAACATGATGAAATCCTTAGACCTCCCCTGCCGAATCTCTGAGGATTTCGGGAATATCTCCGATATCTCCCATCCTTCCGCCCTCATCATGGGAGCATCTCAGCATCTCAGCCAAACGCGCCATGTCCATTTCGGAGTCTCTCAATCCTTAGTTGGAAAGGCAGCGACTGCGCCATCCATGCCATCGGCCATCCCTGCACCTGGAACGCTGGAAGCCCATGCCATGCTGATCAAGCCATATCAAGCCCAAGCTCGGTCACCTGGAGGCAAAGCAGTGTGGGCCATATAGAACTGACGCAGGTGTTTGTGAAATTCCTGGCAAATCAACGGGCAGGCACGGCAGGCACATGATGCTGAGTTCATTTCTGCACCATGGTCTTTGTCTTTGATGTGGTGAATGGTGATCTGATGTGACATGGCGATGGGTCAAAAAAAAAGTTTGGCGACCGTCCAAGTAGGGTCTGGTCCTCCCAAGCTTGCATCTGCTCTGCCATGCTCGTCCCGTTCACTTCTCGTTTCAGCCGCTCCTGGTGCGCGTTGCGCCAGGCTGATCGGACATCACTGATGTCCCTTCAAAAAGGGCTTCCTTGAAATGGTGCAATTGTGGTAGTTATGAGATGATTTATGATGATTTAGTTTTAGTCCTTTTCCAATTCACTCTAGTCTGCTCTGGGTCCCACAACATGATCTCAAATCCTTGATGGCAGTCCTCCCGCAAAGAGCTGTGCATCTCGGATCGAAGCCCCTGCAAAGGCAGGGACATCAAAATTCTCCATGAAACATCCAAGATCGGGGTACAGTATGACTACAGTATGACTACTCTCAGTGGACACTAGAAACAGTCCAAGTGCACCTGGAGGCCACTTTCCAACCCATCTTCCAGCAACCGCAGCTGCCCCTGCATCGAGCGGAAGCTGCTTTGAGATTCGCGCCAGTCCTCCGCATGGTCCATGCGGCTGGGATGCCGTGGTCTATGGGCCCACGGCCCCCCAATTGCCACATGCATGATCTTTGATGGGGAGAACGATGATGAACCCATTTCAAGGTACCCTATGACCCAATCTCTGGTCACACATCAAGATGCACCACTGGGTCCTGACGTACGCCATGCCAGGCACCTTCAAGCCGACCCAGCCGGTCTCCCAGGCCTTGCAAACGTGCAAACGGATCCCCTAGTACAAGTATATATGGGTCAAAATGTGATGTCTCTCACCTAAGTAATATACATTGCTGTGGTTTCATCTGATTTGACCCCCAAAAAAAACTATAAAAAAAACCTACGAAGTCATCAAAATCATCCACAGAATCTCATCCAAAATCTCCAAAAAAGCCATGCCATGGGGATCCCATGGGGATCCCATGGGCCGCCGCACTGTTTCCCAGACTCGCCAGGTCGCCGTTGATTCCACGGGCTTGCTCTTGGCGTTCGGCCGTCTCCTAAGCGAAAAACCATCCATGGCCCATGACAAAAACAGGCAAAAACGATGGGGGGCACATGGAATAATAGCTATCGATGGCTATGGTTGTTGTAATGATAACTATTAATTGTGGAAGTAATGATTATATAAATGACAATTTGATTTAAAAAAAACTTAATAAGAAAAAGAATAGTAGCAGTGTGTAAACATCTTAAAATAGGGAATGTTGGTGTGTATCTATATATATAATGTTTATCTTATTGTCGGGGTTACGAAATGTTGGCAGGGCAATCCTTGGCAGAGCAATCCATGTCGACCTGTCCGGGAACTAGTTCTTGTCACGTTGTTTTGATTCTGGTTCAGATGACAAGAGTCAAAATCTAGGGAATCTTTTCTTGACAGCAGATGGTGTCCATGACATGAAAAATCTTACAGCAACCTGTCCTTGCTCAAGTGATCCAAGATGGTCTTTTGAGTTTCTTTGCAGTCCAGGTGTGCCACGGCAATCTGGTCGCTGACCTCAAGGCTACCGAAGCACCGAAGGGCCGAGCTGGGTCCGTCATCTTGTGGTGACCCTCCGGCGCTGTGAGACCCGGGCCGAGCTCGAGATCTTGGAAGTCTCTGTCTTCAACATCTGCTCAAAGACCTGGAAAAGATCCATTGAAACATGGTGGAAACATGTGGAAACTGGTCTGTTTCCCGCAAATATCAAATCAATAATCATACAACTATATACAACTGTTTTGTACATTCTCCAGATATTGGTTTCTTCGTGCCAACATCCAACAAACCCCAATCCCGACACATCCCGACGCATCAATGCCCCCACCTCCACCATTGCGTTGCGCGAGTTGACCTCCTTGCTGAGAACCATCCCCAGTTTACAATAGATGGGTGCTATAAATCATCAATTTATACCAGTGGGAAACCCAATTTCCATAAACATCCATAAACAACTATAGAATTTGGGGATGGTTTATTATCGGGTTTGCCTCATTAGACGGTTCCTGCATTTTTTGCCTTCACCAAGTTGCTTTACCCTCCACCAAATTATATAACATCGACCCTGAAAATCGGCAAAAAAATGTGGAAACTAAT